TACCGGTTCTCCAGAACTGGTCAGAACCTGCTGAATACCACCTCTGATTTTGTGAATTTAGAATGTTTGTAGACTTGTATACTTTCATTCTTTTGTTACAGGTATAAAACGCAGCTTAAGTGCTTATGAAAGACAGCCTCAGGCAAGGTAAGTTTAAAATCTTATCAAATGTAAATTGTTTGCCTCTCTTATTTTGAATTAATCTTGAATCTGTAGTACATCAATATTGAAATTTTCAAAGAATATAATTTTCAAAATACGTAAAACATACTAGCAGTTTAGTAACATATAAAATTATGTAGCAATAATACATACAACATATAAAATGATGCTCATATATTTAAAAAACCCTTCACAAAACAAATCTCAGAAGGTTTATTTTTTATTGTTTCAGTGGTATAAATGTCTTAAAATAAATTGGCAGAATAGAAGCATAAATTATTATTACAACATTTTATTATGGTAATTGTGATACATATTTTATCCATTGCAAAAATATTCTTCATATTCTTTTTCAAAGTATATTCAGAATAGTATACAATATTTTATTGTCCAAAGGCCACCCTTAGTTTTGAGCATCACACTGGAAAGCACATTTTCCAAAGTACTGACTGCTCCTACGAGACAATTTAATCTGATCTAATTTGCATTTAAGCTAAATTAAAAATAAATATAGTTAAAATGATAACTCCCCAATTATGTATTTAAAGCTGTTCCTCCTTTATCATAATTTTTTTTTAACTAAACATTATTGCCATATTTAAAGCTGTTAGAGACAGTATATGATAAGGCCTAAAGCTAAGTGGTGCTAACTAAAATGTTAAACAGTATGAACATGCATTTTTTGGCATCAGCATTCTACAGAAAACTGTATAGATTTAGTACAGAAAAGTTAATACAACTCTTAAATTAACTGCCTTTTTTAGATTTGCTCAGGAGCAGGAAAAAAGAAAGGCTGTTTTAAGAAATAGCAGAGAGGTTCTAAATGCTTAGGATTGTACAAGGACCAGAACATTTCTTTCAGACAGTCTGAAGATGCACAGGCCATCTAATAATACTACATAATAAGAAAAATAGATAAGTACTTTTTAATGTATGTGTGTTTCTTTGTAAACTTTTGATAAAATTGGAGCCATTATACATAAGACTCCCAGGTGATTTTCTTTCCAGGCATTGATACAATTTATATGCTAAATTTCTCACACAATTATTATTTGAAAGATTATTCTTGCTTAATACCCTTTCTATTTTTGCAGAGATTACACTAGAATTCCAGGATTCAGACCAAGACCCGGTAATTTCACTTCTGCCACTATTTTTGAAAAGATTCCCATCTTGAATTTCTTCTAATCTTATTTTTAAATTGTGTTAGTTTCACATGCAGTTTTTTTCTTTTATTTCTTCAGCTTTGCTGCCCCTTGATCTGCTTCTGAAAGCACCTTCGTTCATGTTCAGGGCCCACGTTAAGAAAATAGAGGACTCGTTAGTGACAGGGTGGAAATCCCATAGTTTTCCTGCTGTGATTCTGCGCAATCTGAAAGATCATGGTAGTACTTAAAAATATCACTTCATCATTAAGCAAGTTATGAATAGAATATAGATTTACAGAAAAGTTATAAATAGTGAGATGTTGTATTAAAGAAAAAGTCTTACATAAATAACATTATGTAGAACACTAAAAAAAGATCTAATTTATTAGACACCTGGAATCTTAACAGTATAGAAAAAGATGGGACAAAGAATGGTTTCTAAGTTTAATTGGAGCAGTTCAAGAAAAAAAATGGAATGAAGATACCAGGTGGACAAAAGAAAATTTGAGATAGCAACAGTAGATAATTGTTCAATGTTCCCTATCATCCCTACCTTTTGGCTGCCCTGCACCCTGTCTTGCAGTAAGTGCCCCAGAACTGTGCAATTCTGGGACTGTTTACCATGTTGCATCTCAGGAGCTTCTTGGTGCACTGTAGCTCTGAGACTGCAAAAAGCCTCTGAGCTGCAGCAAGAAGCCTCAGCTTTCCCTGGAAGCAGCGTAAAACTGTACCACTGCAGGAAGCCCCAGCCATCCAAAGAGCATAGCAGAAAGCAACAGCACCCCAAAAAGCCAATCACTCCAGCAGCACAGCACAAGCCACAACTGCCACAGCTCAGCTGTAGTCATCCTCACCATCCTGTACTCCGAGGCTCTAGCTATCCTACACCCCACTATTCTAGCGGACTTTTGTCATTTTCTTGCTCCCACTGTTGATAAGGCATGCTTTTTCAGAAGACAGCTTCTGGTCACATGATGTCATCTTCCCTAGATTTCACAAGAAAACCACTGTTTGTGATCTTGGAAAGAAAACCTTGTGTGGGCAGAAGTTGCCCCACAAAGGGTTAGGCTGAGCATACTTAGCCAGACGTGGGAGCAAGAAGATGATGTATGTCAGCTAGGATGGTAGGGGCCAAAGGCGAGTTAGGGCACCATATGCAAATTACCAATTTCCCAAGTGCACGGAGTGTTATTTTTTCCCACAAGAAAGAAAATGCTTTATTCAGGTGATCCTTGTTTGTTTAAAATTCCAAAATGCAATATCTGTTTTGAACAAAAGTAGTTTTTTTTAATTCTTACCTTTTTCCAGAATTCTTATAATGCTCTTCAATAGTTATTCTGATTCTATATTTCACAAATATGCTGAAAACCAATCCATTTTTATTTGGACTAGGATGAATCTGGCGTAAGAGATGGAAAAGAGTGAATGAAACCTTTCTAGACACTTTTTGAAAGTTCATACTTTCTCTAAATAGGTTGTTAGTACCATAAAATAAGACAGGGAAATCTTCCATCTCAATCTCTTTTGTTTTTTGTGCTCTTTCCTCCATTTTTACATTTACAAGATTCAAGCTGAATAAGATGATCCTGTTCTTAAAAGTTCTTTCTAAGCCAAAAGGTGCTTTACAGGTGATCCACAACTTTGACTGTAATGGAGACTACTAATTATAGTTACAAGGGCTGATAGCAATTAAACAAGACAGTCTCACCGAAAGATCCACACTCCTTGCTTTTCTTGATATAGTCATTAAAACTATGTTTGGGTTCTTAAGTGGACCATATGGTGTATCAGTGTGGAGGAAGCTTGGGAGATCTAGTGCAGGTTCAGGCCAGGGGTGGGATTCTACCAGTTCGCAGCTATTCGCTAGAACCGGTTGTTAACATTCTAAGCAGTTCAGAGAACCGGTTGTTAGAAGAAATTACAGGCCTAATCCTGTAAGAAGGCAGGAAGGAAACATTCTGGTGTTGCTTACAGAAACTGCCTCTCCCTTAACCCTTATTACATTCTTGGCAGGACTAGACTTCCTGTCTCAGGAACTTGTCTGGAGTTTTTTTCTCCTCCTTTGCTGGTACTTTGCTTGTGTGGAATGACCATTCAAAGTTACAATGGCACTGAAAAAAGTGACATGACCATTTTTCACATTTACGACTGTTGCAGCATCCCCAAAGTCATGAGAGGCCAGGCGAGGAGATGCGTGCCTTGATGTGAGTGATATTGAGTTGGCCACGCCCAGCCAATAACATGACCACCAAGCCATGTCCACCTAGTCACATGACCACCCAGCCACACCCACCACCTAAGCCACACCCACAGAACCAGTTGGTAAAAATTTTGAATCCCACCCCTGGCTCAGGCCCACCTGCCCTGAACTTCTTAAGACCTCCATCATCCCCTGAGACACTTCATGTTCTGTTTCCTGTCCCTTGGAGTTCCAATAGCCCTTGGATCTGCTTATTCCCCATATCCTGCAGGCCTTTTCCTCTCTCCACCAGGTCTCTACCCACCTTAGGCTTACTTCGCATTCCATCACCCAAGTGGGCTTATCTTTTGAAGATCCCTGAAACTCCAGAGGTTTCCTAACTGCATTAGGGCAGCAAAATGACTCCCCCCTCCATATGGCTGCCTTCCAGAAGTAGCTGCCATTTCTATATGACTGCAAAGAATTGGCAAGTTGAAAGTGGTGGCCACTTCTGGGGCACAGACATGCAACCCAGGGACAAGGGTGGAATGGGGCAATTCAGCAGGGCCAGCTGTCCATTGTCAGTTCACTATTGTCAAGTCACCTCCACCAAGTCATCACAGGACAACTCAACAAGGCTAATTTGCTTCAGGGGCAACTTTCTGTGGCAGCCGGAGGGAGAGCTGGGCAAGTGGGCAGATGAGTGTGTCAATGGTTTGCCTAATGAACCCAACAAATATAGACACCTTCTGGAACTTTGAAATTCTAAAAACAGAACTTCATTGAATACACCATTTTAGCACTGAAGAAAGCAAAACCTGCTCTAACTTTTCCCACGCAACCCTGCATAGTTGAAGAATAAATTACTCCCCTCCTCCCACTAGACTGGTCACATTGTCCAATTATGAATCGTCCTTTTGTTTTGAGAACAATTTATGTCTTGGCCGACACTTGCAATAGTGTCTTTCATAGGTAATTGGTTCTCACAGTTGAAATTTGGAGCCTTAACATTCCTACTTCCCCTTCCCTCCCCGCTTTTCCTTGACAAGTTGAAAAGTGATAATATCATAAGCATAAGCGAATTCAATCTGACAGAGTGAGCAGGTGGGCAGTGGCAGCCAGGGGGGCTTCCTATTTGCATAACCCTGCCACCATTGCTCCTGCTACCATGCTGAGCTCCAGGCCATTTGGAGTTCAGACCATTTGGCAGCAGCGGCAGTGGGTGGGGCAACTGGCCAATAGATAGTGGTGGCCAGGTACATCTCATTTTTTATACTCTCTGCTGCTGTTGCTGCTGCCATGTCAATCTCTTGGAGTTTCCGGAGCTTGCTACTGCAGCAGCACTGGCAAGGGGTGTGAAAATGGGATGTGCCTCCTCCTGGCTGCCTGCCCCCACCCCCAGTGCTGCCATCAAATGGCTCAGAGCTCAGAACTGAATGTCTCAGAGCTCAATGCCACAGCAATGGCAGTTACAGGAGTTGTAAGGGATGTGCAAATGGGAATCCCCTGGCCACCCCTGTTCTGTGCTCTACCTGCCTGTTCGTTTGCCCACCCACCCACCCAGGTCTTCCTCTGGCTACCTGCAGCGAGTTGTCTTTGCAATGAAATGGCTATGTTGAGTTGTCCTGAAATGACTTGGTGGTGAGTTGGCAGAGGTAACTTGATAGTGATCTGGCTACAATGAGTGGCCACGCCAAGTTGTCCTAGATCTGGACAGATTATCTGTCCTCCTTCCCCAGCATGAGGTCTGGTAATTTTCACAAGGTAAATGTACTTATAGATGGATGACCGGGCAGGCTTAAGGTCTCTGGGGACCTGGGGGGGCAGGATGGAAAGAAGAGACATGGAGGAGCAGTTCCACCATCACTGTGGTCAGTTATAACACAGAATGACATGGAAAGGCACTACAGGGACCATAACTTTGAAACGTGGGGGTAAATATTTTTGGATAGGTCTGTCATAATTTCAGTGGGCCACTATTTAAATGAGGGCTTTCTGTTTTTTCTTTTATCAGTGATAATTTTTCATCACCGATAATTAAATAAGAGTTTTCTGTATTTTCCTTTTTCAGTGATTTTTAAAGATGCTTGAACACTCCATTAATGCTACGAATGTTGAGAGCTGCATTCGTTATTATTTTTCATTCCTTCTGAAAAATGAATGAAAAACAACTACATGCTCTAGGGACAATTAACTGTAGGTGGGGTTTTTTGGGGTGGGGGAGTGAAAAATGTTGCATTATGTTTTATGATAGGAATGACAATAAGTTTGGAAAAAAAGAAAGAAACAAGGAAAATCAAACTATATTTACAGAAGTTCAGAATATTGGTAGAAATAGCTTATTTTTTCTCTTTCCCTCTACCTCATAAATAGGTGAAAATATGAGGAAAGTTTGTCCTTGGTTAACATACCACAAACACTAGAAAATGAGGGCTGGAACCAAAGAATTACAAAGGAGAATTTCATGGGGACTGTATTTTTTTAAGGAACTTCCTCTGCAAGTCTGTTCACACATTTCTGAAAAAAAATTTTTTTTCCTGCCTAGGTTTGATTACTTCCAGACTACTATTTTTTAGTCTGTCAATATCTTTTAAAAAGAACACAAATTATTTTGTGCTACATATAAGTACTAATTAATATTTTAACTAATATTAATTAGTACTTATATGCAACATTGTGATGACCCGGGGCCTGGCACAAAACCAACAAACTCACAAAAATGGGTAAAGTCCCTTTAATACCTCCAACTTGGCCCCCAATGTCCAGTTATTCTCAGCTGGAGATCAAACTCTTCCAAAAACAGTC